GTGGGCAGACTTATTACTTATTTTTAACTTGGAATTAATTTACTTCCTTCAGCTGTGAATTCTAAAGCTGAATATAAATGACGAAAGGCTCCCATTTTCAGCTTTGTTTCTTGCAATTCAGTCTGTTACTCTTGTTTTTATGAACTAGAGGAAAAAAAAAACATTGTTTGTTTGAACAAGTCAGACAAATTCCATTTTAATAGTGCAAGCCTGTGAGCCTAGCAGTCTTAAACCCTTTTCACTTGTTCTTTCTTTGATATCTTCTCTTATCTGCTCGTGGAGTGCAAACAGCCTTTTTCTTTGCCACAGGTACTGTTTTATACTGTGGGGCTTTAATAGCTGTTTTTACTACTGTTTTGTTATCAAATAGTTTTAAAATGAAGATGTGTTTTTTAACAAAAGCTCTGCCAGCTGGAGATTTTTCTCCTCCCTTTGGTTGCAAGCTCTTTAGTATTGCTGTAGGGATCTCTGTAATTGGATGTCTGAGACCTCTTTCAAAAATTAAGATACTTTAAAGTGTACTGGACTTTAAAATCCTGGATATTTTATCAGTACCTGAGTTGGAGTTGATTTTTTCAATGGTGATAGGTTTGTGCCATCCTTTGCCATCGCACCAGCCAAGCACATGCATGCCCTTTATGGGGGCTCCCTCTAGTGACCTGTTCTAAAAGTCCTTTTTCCTCTTGGTTCTGAAGAACTTCGTGTGTTTTCTTTACAATCACAGTTTTTGTTCACTAAATCTAATGCATTTTTTTCTGCACATGTGTAAGCTGTAAAGGTCCTTTTCCTTTGGTGTGAGCTGGAAGGAGTTGTAAGTAAAGCTAAGGGATAGGACTGCCTATTTGGTGTTTAAGACCTCAGCTGATCAACTTCATCATACCTCAAGATGTGGCTCTGGACTCATAGATGTTGGGAGCATGAGTGTGTGAGCTAGGAGGAAAAGCTGAAGGAAGTTGGGTTGTATAGACAGATAAAAAAAAGATGGAGTGGGTCTGGAGGGAAAAAATGGTGGTGGGAGATAAATTTTCAACTGTGTATGGTGAAGATTTTCAACTCTAATACATTCCCGAGGCTGGGGCAGAAGGGAGATAAGGAGGACCTAAAGAGTTTGTGGTGTTTCCACTGTTGTGTGTCTTAAAAACAGCCCAACCAAAACAGATTTTGGGAAGGATGTAACAGGGTCAGCTCTATCTTTTATGCATGTGGGTGCAAAGATGATTCAGTGACCATTGACTTCACTTTCTTATAGGAACTACTGTAAACTTGTTAGCAATACTAAAGTTTTTTTTTTAAAAAAAGCTGTCTCTCTTTTGCTTTATTTCTGTCTTAGATATTTTTTCAGTAGATTGCTGCATTTCCCTAGCGGATGTTGTTTCTTGATTTATTTATTTTTAAAAATTTTTTACTTTATCCCTGTTGAAATCATCCCAGAGAAGGGATGGATAAGACATGAATTAGGGCTAGGTAGGCAGAGGGGAAAAGCTTGAGAGTGAGTTAGTCAGAAAAGTGGCAGAGAAGGTTGAGTAGGCACTTGGGAAAAAAATGTAAAACTTAAGTTTTATGAATTGCTTTCAAGTTGGACATTTCCTTAGGGTTCTGTTAGGTCCTCACCTGCTTGTGAATATGCAGATTTGACATTCGTGTGGGGTTGCTTTACACCTCAATGTCTCACTTTGCAAATTTAATTTAACTTCTTTTGAATTAAGATGACTTGAGCTGACTGTAGTTCTCTGGTGGAGACATACTCTAAATTTAGTTTTATTTGCTTGGCAAGCAGGCTTTCTTATCTCTAAAAACTTAGGCATTTGAGTCCAGGGACTCAACTCCTGTTCTGTATCTTGTATTGAAGACTAGTTTATATAGCAACCACTTCAGAGAATCTATTTCTCAAGGATGTATGTAAAGCTGTTTCATTAATGAAAGCAAGAAATATTCTCATTACACCACAAGTGCAAGGTGAATCTGTCACTGTTAGCGTTTTTATTAATGCTCTAGTACGTACACATGGTGTGCATCCTTTGTGAAATAAGCAATGCCCTAGAATTGCTGGTTTGTCCTTGCTGAGTTATGGTACCATGAATTACAGGATAATACATAGAGCATTTGAGTTTGGGCATATTTGAGGACTTACTGTAGTTATTCACAGATCTGAGATACATCATTACCTTGGGAAGAAACTTTGAAGTAAATGAGTGCAGGTTTGGTTTTTTTTTTTTTTTTTTTTTTTTTTTTTTAATCTGAGAAACAGACAAAAATGTGTGTAGTGAAGGAAGAAATGGGAGACAAAGGTAGGAAGCGAGTCATTAGTAATGGCCAGGAATGACTTCATTGTCCTTGCCAAGATGACTAGATTGATTACAGGAGGTGAAAAACATCCCAAATCAGATTTCAGTTTTGACTTTGTTAGGAAATGCTGTCTGCCAGCCCCAGATATCTAACAGATGGCAAAAGAAAAACAGTTGTCTTTCCTACAACTATTTGTATGATATTAGGATTACTTTTGTAATCAGCAGCATATTAGTAGACTTGTTGAGTGTCTTTGAGAACGAGACTTGGCTCTCCATGACTTCCATCAGTGTTGAGCATCCTTCTGTAACAACCAGAATGAAATAAAGTATGTGCAAGCTCAAACCCTCTGTTAAATCAGACTTTTATTGGAAGAAATGGGGGTAATCTATCAAAGATGTACAGGGCAGAATACACTTTCACTGGTGAACTGTGTTAAAAACAGTGGTCATCAGAGCTCCTCCAAGAACTGTGCAGTGGGTAAGGGACTTGCTGAAGAGGATGTGGTAGAGTCATATGGGAGTGGGGTGTTTGTGGGTGGTTGGTTGGGTTTTTTTGGTTTGGCTTTTTATTTTTTCCTCCCCTCACGAGGCAGTGAATTTACTAATGTTTTTCTGTGGGGAACGAATCTCAGGAGAACCACACTCAAATATATTCAGTACTTGCAAAGAGTGAGAACTAGAGGCAAACCTGTGAAGGCTGTGGAGGATGGAAAATCGGGAGGCAGTGCCGGTGTGCGCAGCATGTAGTGTGGCACTCTTTCTGCAGAAAGAGTTAGATGACCTTGGTGGTTAATTGACTGAGGGACATCTCTGCTTTCCCTCTGACTCGGAAAGCAGTGATAATGAGAATTAGCTTTTTTTAATTGTATGGTATTTATTGTCTTTGTGGCTCTTCCTGCTGGATTTTTTTTGGTTATTTGATGGTTTTGTTGTGTGTGGGTGTTGTTGTTTTTTTTTTTTTTTTTATTTGTAGTTTTTTTTTTTTTAATTGTATCGGTACAAATGCTGTAGTATTCAAACCGTATTTTCTACTTAAATTCAAATGGTTTTAGTTTGGAGAATTCAACATGTTTTGATTCAATGTTAAGTAGTATTTCAGTAACTTGAGTGGAAGGTGGAGGGGGAGGATGATGGTGTATGTTTTAAATTTGGCAGAGCTCAAGTAGGATGCTCACTGGGGAGGGATGGGGAAAACAACTGTCCTACTTGCTGGCATAATGCAGTTAACATGAAAGCAGGTAATAAATCAGAGCCTGTAAATCAATCAGAGAGGCTGATTTTTATTTTAATACGGCTCAACTGCTAACTGCAGTGGCTATCTTCTCTGGAAAAATGGATGAACAGTATAACTTTTAGGTTAGAGTGGTATAAGCTTCTCATTATTACGATAATAAAAACTTGATAACTTTCCACAGAAACACTCTTTGCTTGGGTGAAGACACTGAGGGTGATCTGGTGGCAATGGAATAGTCACTTCAGGACTATACAGCAATTGGTAAAGAAAAAAAATAAAGAATACAGATTAATACAGAAAATATAAAATACAGAATATAGATTAATACAGACACAGAAATTAAACTTCTGAATACACACACTTGAATAGAAGACTACCTTTACGGTAACATGTCATAGTAGCAGTGTATCTTGTGCTGGAGGTAGCATGGATTTTTGCGCTAGGTGTGTGATGGCAGATCTAACGTAGAACTGAGTGAGACGAGTTATTCTGGAGTGGTTGAGACAAACAGTGATTTCTGCTAGCAGTTATTTGTGCTGAAGTTAGAGATAGATCTAAAATAAATGCAGCTTTCTCATTTCTACTTATGGTTGGTTGTAATGCTGGCGAATCTGAGCAGGAATACATGAATTAATGAAAATCAATTAAGCAATATAAGCATTAGCTTAGTTCCTTGCTAATGATGTGGATGTCTAACAATGCAAGACTAGGTTAAGCTTTTGGCCAGCATGTATTTGTAGAAGTGAGGTAACTGAACTGTTATATAGATTATGATACAAATGAGGTGATTTGGTGATGCAAAAAATAAGAGTTTACCAGATTTAGGGGCCTATTATAACATTTAGTAACAAATCTTTTGAAAGCTAATGTATGTTGTTTCTTTCCTCTTCTAGTTGAGCAGTTAAAGGTGGCAAAGCTCCAAGTTTTAAATTTGCTGGTGTTTTCATTCAGGCTTTTCTTCTCCCTACTACCTCCTGCCAGGGCTGGTTCTGAGTTTTGGGGCTGCTGGCAAATGGTATGCTTGTGTGTTGTATGCATTTGGAATAATTCTGGGTTGGATTCAGTATTGCTTCAGCAGAAAGATTATTTTAACTAATTCTTAATTTTTTTGTAGCTTGCACCCTTGTGGTTGCCAAAGAAAATTACTGAGTGAATTTAGCTCCAAAAAAATGTATGTTTCTACAGTTTTTTTTTTTTTTTTAATCAAATGATATGTGGGCAAGGAATCAGTGCTTCATGGTAGCTTGTGTTTAAGAACAAATATAAAGGCAGTAGTGTGATATTTTTTTTTTTTTTTTTTTTTAGGGAAATGCAGGTATCTTTGTGGGTTACCGGTGCCCTCTGGAGGCAAAAACAAAAGGCGCCGCAGTCTGACAGCAATAGTGTAACTGGAACTGCTGATAGCTGGCTTGGGATGTGTAAGTAGTGATTTCAGACCAACGTTTGTAATCTGGTTTTACTGCTTTCTTGGTTTGTAGGTGAAAACGCTAAAGAAGATCTGCAAGGGAAGAAAAGTCTGAGTGAGAAAGTTTCTCTTTATAGAGGTGACATTACGCTGCTTGAGGTTGATGCCATCGTTAATGCTGGTAGGTGGTTAAATGTTTTACATTGTTACGTCTTGAAAATCCTTTATAGTGCCATGTTACAAGTTTGAACTTTGAGAATTTGTATATAATTGGTGTGTCCCATGGAAATCTGTTGGAAACTATGTATTTTTTTCCCAGTTTCTCTGTTGCATCTCTGCATCCTGTTTCCCTTTACTGTGCCAGGAATTATTGTGAAACTTCTGTGGCATGGTCACCAAGAAAAAAATGTAGGCAAGTAGTGTTGAAAACCTTAACAGGAAGGTGATAGGAAAAAGTGGATTTCTGTGGCTTAAATATTTGCTTTCTTGTAGGGAGCCTGTCTTTCAAATTTTTGGTTGTGACTTACAGAGTTCTCAGTAGAATCACAGTTGTGGCTGTAGGGGACCTTTCAAGGTCATCTAGTGCACTCTGCCTGCGATGAGCAGGGACATCTTCAACTAGATCAGGTTGCTCATGGCCTTGAATGTTTCCAGGGATGGGTTTAGCTTTAATACCTCTTCTGTCTTGGTGACCATGTCTCCATGTATGCAACTGAGGTGAAGAACTGCACGCAGCATCTTTGTGTGACAAAAGGGGCGGGGGGGAAATGCCTATGCAATTAATTTTTTTTGTGCACTGGGTCATAAGAAGCTAATTTGTCTGGTTGGGAAAGCCTATGGGAAGGTTTCCCCCTACACATGCGCCCCAGCCAAATCTTGCCTGCATTCCCCACCCCAAAAAGAATATGGTTTGTGTGTCTTGAGGACGGCAATTTTTTTCCCACTAATATTTGTCTAGCATTGACCTTAATTATTAGGAGTATTGGTTCAATTTAAAGAACTAATTTTTGGTATTACTCCTTTATTAGAAGGAAACCTACTGCAGTATTTTTCTGTGATGGAGTAAGGTGCAGAGATTCCCAAGGTTGTGGTATATTACCACACTTAAAAGCTGTGTGGAGATACTGGCTCATGTCTGTCAAGAGTTCAGAAATGTTTGCTCATACAGTGTAGAAGTTAGAAAACAGATTCTGTTGGATGGTTTGATATTGTTTCTTTCTGCTGAACTCCCCACTTTGAAGCCATTCTACTGGGTTTTGTGGAGTACAGGTACAATCCTTAGTTATCTTAAAATGCATTTTTGCACTCCAAGTAATGAGGATGGTATTTCCATGCAAAAGTTTTCAATATTCTAGTTTACTGATGTACAAAAGCCTTTCCAAAATATGGGCTAATACTATGGTAATACTCATGCACAGTCCTTTCCTCACTGTGTTGGCAAAGCTTATGAAGCTTTAATATTTTAATTTCCCCTAATTCTTTCAAGGTGACATTTCCAGTAGTGCTCTCACTGGTTTCCTTTATTATTCTACAGTAAGTCAATATTAGCATACCTCTTTCAATTTATATTTGGCTTATCTTTGTTTATAGATCTTGCTTGAATTACAGGCTGGAACTGGTTGCAGATTAGCTTTTGAATGGGAATACTTTGCTTTTCTTGATTTAAAGGTGTTTTTTTTGTTTTCCCCCTTTCTCATGAAATGTCCAAAAACCTGTATCCCAGGCTGCTGCTGACCTGTAAACTTGCCTGCCATCTTGGTAAAGAATGCATCTATGTGAGTAGAAATGAAAAATAGAATGCAATTAAAATCAACACACATTCATATGCAATTTTGAGGAAAAGAGTAAAGACCACTCAAAATAGCAAAGTAAAACTGAGGTTGAAAGACCTAAAGAGGGACATAAGGCTCTTCAATATCTAGAAGGCTATTGACAGAAGGAAAGAAGTTGTTTCTAATGATGTCTTCTGTAAGTAAATTAGAGGAGTTAGATTTGGGATTAATGAGAGATTCAGATTAGATGTTGGTAAAACTACTTATTGGGAGGAACAGCGATGCTCCACGGTATCAGGCTGATACGTAGCAGCAGTCCTAGGTCAGGACATCAGTACTTTTTTTTGAGATTCTTCTAGCCCTTTACTATTGTAATCTTTTATAGTTCTTAAAGTGCATTAAAATAGTAACTATTGTTGATGTGCTTAAATGAAAATACTAACCTGTAGTTACCTTGAAAAAAATCAAATATTCTCTGTATGTCAATGCAGTAATTAGAATTTAAGTGTAAGCCTTTGATTTGTTCATGATTTCAGTGTTACCTTTTTTCTTTTGAAGTTGAACCTTTTAAACTTACTGTGGAGGATGTATTAATTCAATATCTGTATTATTTATGCAAAAATCCAGTTGCTGCACAGAGATGTTATTTTAAAATCAAACAAAAAAGTTTCGGTGAAATTGTACGGACTCTAAAAACGTGTTTCTGCGCTCTGTGATGCTTTTGCAAAGAACTCCATTGTTTTTCCTTCTGCAATTAAAATTATCCAGGCCCTAAAGAGATAAATCAAAAAAAACCAGTAGTCATGTCCTGTTTCTCCTTTGGAAAGCTCAATCTTGGAGACGTTCTTATGGTGTAACCAGCGCCATCCCCACAGTCCCAGCTCCTGTCCATAAGTTGAATAAAATGCAGCTGATCAAACACAGAATAGGAGACAGACTTTTTAGAGGTAAATCTGTGCAAGTTCTTTTCATACTTGAAGCCTTTTGGCTACCTGGGATGTTGATGACTGATGCCCTCTTGAAGCCAGGGCATGCAGCTGGGAGGTGGAAGGAGGGAAAAGACCCTCTTGGGACTTTCTCTCTGAATTGAGGAGTTCCTTTAACTACCCCCTGTAATAAACAGTTTAACGTACAGTAAGTCATATACAAATTAAAGCAACAAGAATATACTTAGTTTGAACTTTAATTTACATTGACTTACACAAAGAACAAAATATGCCCTCATCAAAGGGAATGGTATGGCAAATTCTAGGGCTGTGAGAGGGTGCCAGGTGGTTCACATTGTCTCTGGATTTTGATACAGACATGTTAACAAAAAAATGTATATTTTTCCAATATCTGCCTGTGAGGGGTAAATGAGACACAAGTGAATTTACTTGATTAAACAGGGGTGTGAGAGTATGTTCAGTAATTTGCCTGTAGTGCTGACTGTATACTGTGGTGCCCTCCTTTGGGTATCCAGGTGACAGTGTGATTCTTTGGAGTATGGCCAGGTTTATTTCTGAACTATACTTGAAAAACATTTCTGTTAAATTTAGTAGCTGACCTTATGCTCTGAATTCTGTTTCCCCTTTGACTTTCTTGCATATGGTGATCTTATGTGTAGCTAAATAGTATCACAGATGAGCACTACTACAAAAGGATCCCTTTTTCTCCTACACTTTAACAGACAAACTGAATGTTACTTACTTTGTAAAAATGTGTTACAATGATTTTATGCTAAAAGAAGACAACTCTGGAAACAGTGGAAGTAAAAGTTTGTGTCTCTACTCGATGTCAAAACAACCGTATCAAAACAGCCAATTTGAAATCATTGGTGATCAGAGTGAGGATCTATTTTCTGGCTTCTGAAGAGAGTGCAAATTAACCTGAGATGCTGTGTGACGGAGAAGGTAGCTGAAAAAGGGAGCTGATATGCCATTTCACTAAAATCCGTGTCAATTAGCTACCCCTGTAAGTGTGTTATCCTTCCAGAATGGTTCCCTAAGACTTCCTTTCTACTGATTGCATTGCAGACAGGTATTTAACTTGATGTTTTGCCTAAGGTGTCCTGTTATGTTAATTTCCTTCCCCCCCTCCTTTTTTTTTTTTTTTTTTAAGGATTCAGGTAAGATTTATACAAAAAAATTATTTTTACTCATATATCCTTTTTCCTTTTGGTATTATTCTCTAAGAATGTGAACAGGCTGTCCCTGAGGCATGTACTTACTGTGTAAATCTGTGATAACTGGCCTTTTTAGCAAACTAAATATTCCTGGATGTCACCTGATCCTGATGCCAAAAGTACTTCAAGCACCTGGAAGCCAGATAACCACAATTAACTGACTTCCAAATAACCCGTGGGAGCTGAGCATGGCGGTGGGGGGGGGTGTGTTAGGGGAGGCAGAGGGAGGTTGTTCAGTTGTTCTACCCCTTTCCTTTCTGCTCTTTTAACGCTTTTCATTCATACTGCAGTCATTTCCTGATAGAAACCATTTCTGTGGACAAATTGGGCTATGTGAGGAAAAACATTTTCAGATAATATTGAAATACTAAAGCCACAAAATGTGTAACAACACCCCTACTACCTCACCAGCTCCCTCTACCTTAATATGTTTTCATCTGTTTTCTCCAAGGTACGGATTTAGGGAGCAAGTCTTTCTGCTGGTGGTTAATTTAGCAGCAGACCAAAATAACTGGTCCATGTTCTGAGTTGTGACTAAAAAACAAAACAAACAAAAAAAAGAGTTTTCCTCCAAGTCTGCTTGTTTGCTGCCTCTGCTTATATAAAGTCTGGATGGTATGACATGATGGTCTCATGGTTTAGGTGGGTCTGATGTAGTAACAATGGTCCTAACTCAAGTTTTCGGGGCCTAATTGGAAAAACAAAAGCATTGATCCACGTCATGCAGTTTATTCTGCTCACTTTTAGGCTTCTGCAAGTATGTTGTTTTTATAAAGCGGCCAGTCCCAAATACAGAAATAAGCAGTAAAAGCCTCAGTAAGGTTTGAAAAATAAACTATTCAGTAATTATAGTATCGGGTAAGTAGTAAATACTAAATTTCCTCTACATTTTAAATTTAATTTAAATTTAAATAGGGGAAAATATGTTGCTGTTTATAGTGTATGAAATAAGTTTTAAATCTGAAGTAGATAAAGGAGTTGCATTTTCAGAGTGGGTGTGACATGTATGTCTGTGTACCTGATATACCTTAAGCAGCAGTTAATCGTTGCTGACCTCAGGTAATTCATTCATTTCTTACCAGTTAATAAATCTTACCAGCCCAGTTCTAAGATAAGGCATGTACTAATGTGCTTGTGAGTGAGTTTTCACTAGGAGCAAGATGGAGGGGAGACGATTATGCAGGATAAAAGGCATTAACTTTATTTAATTGGGGGAAGAGAATGAGTTGCAGAACACAAGAAGAA